CCACATAATCTGATTTTTTTTTTTAATTTCAATTGTACTTTAGAAATTACTTTTCTTCTTTTTTTTAAAGGTAAACTAGTGGTTTTGGGTAATATTTTTTCAAAGTTTTATATAGGAAAGCTGATAGTTATTTATCACAGGTATTCCTATAGCGACAACAATTTACAGAGCACTTTACATATTTAATCACTTTTGGTATATATACTGGAATTTTAATTAATTTTTTTTTATACTAGTAATGGCAGCAATCAGCGACTTATAGCGGGACTGTGGGACTGTGGCAGGCATTCTGACACTGGGTGGGAACTGACTAACGGCCACTGAGATCCCCAGTGACACTAATACAGTGATCAGTGCTAATAAAAAGCACACAGGAAGGGGTTAACTTTTGGGCGATCAAAGAGTTAACTGTGTGCTGTGTGTGTTTCACTAAGATACAAAACAACATGTCCATGCTGACAGGAGATAGACCTGTGTTGTTTACACACAGGTCTCTCCCCTGTCAGCTTTACAGGGTGATCGCCGAGTGCCGGCCGGGAATCGCTGGCTGGGACTCGGTGATTGACATCCCTAGCCACCAATAGTGGCACGGGTAGGGCAGCACGCCCTCGACCCAGAAATGCAAATCACATATATATACTTGGTTTTGCACAGCCCTGCTGCCCTGTAGCAGTACTTCTACTATAGGGGGGGGCGGGCAAGTGGTTAACCGTTTGCTAACCGCACTATAGATAATTATGGCTACAGCGTGGTTGTCCAGTTCTGTAAGGGTGTTATATGACATCTTCCCACAATGTGCCCTCCCACGCACCCCCAGCGGTGTGCACCCTGCAATCTCCATGATCACTGTGTCTTATGGATGATGTAAAAGGCCAACCACAGCAGCTTTTACCACGTGATCAGCTGTGTCCAATGACACAGCAGATCATGGAATAAATACAGTTGCCAGTTATAGGCAGCACTTTCCTCACGCTGTCACAGTATGAGGAAAGTACTGCTGATAACCAGCAACTGTCACAGAACAGATCGGCAATGATCATTAGGGCACTGGTGATCAGTGCCCTGCCATGCCGACCAGCAGTGCCACCCACCAGTGCCCATCAGTGCCACCCATCAGTGCCACCCAACAGTGCCCAGCAGTGCCACCCATCAGTGCTGCCCAGCAGTTGTGCCCATCAGTGCCCAGGAGTGCCACCAGTCAGTGCCATCAGTCAGTGTCGCCAATCACTGCCATCCAGCAGTGCCCACCAGTGCCACCTATTAGTGACCATCATTGCTGCATATCAGTGCAGCATCCTCAGTACCTCCTCATCAATGCCCACCGATGCTGCTACATCAGTGCCCATCAGTGCTGCCTATCCATGTCACCTCATCAGTGCCCATTTCTGATCCTCCCCTTCTTCTACTGTCCCCAATCCATCTGCTGATAGAATAGAGCCTCAGGGGCAAGCTGCACATGCTCAGTCTGGTGTATGTATGTATGTATATATATATATATATATATATATATATTTCAAATTCACTTGATTATGTCTTATTAAAAGAAATACAAAAAATTCATGTATTATTCTAAACATACCTAAGAAACACACACGCACTTTTTTTTTTTGTGTGTTTGTTTTGTTTTTTTTTTTTTATTAATACTTACTATGCACACCACCTAAATCCACCATTTTATCCACTGCACACAGCTATTCACAAAGTATATGTATTTTTTACTGAGATATAATATATATAGCTGAATTCTTACAAATTCATCCAAGTTAACAACAGCACAAAGAAAAACAATTTAGTTTGTTTCAATTTGTGCCAGCAGATCCAATCATACCCCTGGTGAGATCTTCATGTTGAGGAAAGCCTGGTCTTTAATACAAAAGATTTTTTTAAATGAAGAAGTCATGGTTCTGGGGTATATAATGTGTATTTCTTGCAAGAATTTTGTTTTCCAAACCACACATAATAAATGTATTCATCAGTACAATACTAGTTATGAAAATATCTATTATCTGTATTTAAATATGTGATAATGTATACTATTTTTTCTTTTAATATTACTGCAGATTTCATAATTGAACCATTATTTTTGCTTTAACTTATTAGATGTCTAATTAATTATTAAGACCATCCTGTAAGAATTTAGATAAATATAGGAATGCACTAATATATTAAATAATAAAAAACAACAAAAGAAGTGTCCATATAATTCTGTGTAAAAGTCCAAACACCATACAAATGCTGGAAAATCATGTGGAAACCATAGCACCGTGATAAATCCACCACCAAATAAATTGGATAAACTCACCAGAGCTATATGCTGATCAAATTATAAATCAGCATAAGCGCTATTGCTCTGGGAGCGATGGATGTAAGGAATATCCAGACTCTAGAAGCAATACTCTGCAGCTGTAGACAATATCCAGACTCTAGGAGCAATACTCTGCAGCCAATCACTCAGCATGGACGGAACCTTTCATATAACCCTCGATTCTCCATACATATTGGAACCGCACTCAGGAATAAAGAGAGGATATGATGGTGCAGCACGTTTAAAACCAATCACATTTATTAAAACATGGTAACACTCACAAACAAGGTGTCCCGGCCCACACCAGCATAATCAGTATAGAAAAGGGAATGGACGAGCCCCGCTCACCGCGGAAGAAACAGCCGACAGTCACAGGGAGCGTCCTGACGTCACATCCACTAAGCCCCGCAGAGCCTAGTGTATGCATTCCCTCCCATCCCTCTAATTCTTCAGGTGTCACTGAAGATAGGGAGACTGTCCAAGCAATAGTAATTCTCCCATTTTGGCCAAGAAGGCCCTGGTTCCCTTTAGTATGGAGAATGAGGCTAGAAGATCCAGTTCCCCTACCACATTGGTCAGATTTGTTGATGCAGAATGGGAAACAACATCCATACTTCAGGAGATTGAAATACACATTTCTTTCAACCATCCCCTTTCAATCTCCAAGCCATTAGTTTCAGACGGAGTCATCGACACCTTGTTATGCTCGAGTAAACTATCTACAAATTTCACATACCAGCGTGTACGGGTAGTATTTCTTGAATTTGCCTTGATGAATGGCTGGGATCCTATTTCTCCATCAATATCTAATGTGTTGGACTTCCTCTAAAGGGGCCTGGATAAGGGTCTGGCATATAATTCCTTGAGAGTCCAAGTATCAGCCTTAGCAGCTCTGACCCAAAAAAGATGGTAATTACATCTTTAGGTGATTCCATTTTGAATGAAAATCCATCCTCTGGTGAAGACCTACTTCCAAAAGTGGGATTTGACCCTGGTCTTAAAAGCTTTATTTGGATCTCCTTTTGACCCTCCATAGTCCTGTTCAATGTATTATCTTACTGTAAGAATTATTTTCCTAATAGCTGTTTCTTCAGCAAGAAGACTCTTGGAGTTGTGCATCTTCTTGGTGAAGGAACCGTACTGCTTGGTCTTTCCAGAGAGAGTGATTTTCAGGCCAGTACCTTCTTTTCTTCCCAAAGTGTCCACATCTTTCCACTTGAATTGGGAGTCTGTATTTACATCCTTTGTTCCTGAGGAAACAGGAGAAGAATGGAAAAAGCTAGATCTGGTTCAATCTCTTACAGGCTACCTAGAGCACACCAAACATGTCAGAAAAGTTAATAATTTCTTTCCCTACCCTTCAGGCCTAAGAAGAGGGCAGGCCATGCCTCCTAGGGTTCTCTCAGCCTACATTGTTATAACTATACAATCGGCTTTTAAATTCTTGAACCTTTCTCCTCCAGAAGTAAGGGCTCATTCAACCAGGGGCAAGGCAGCATCATGGGCTTCTTATTCAAAGGTCTCGGCAGAGGTGGTTTGCAAGATGGCTAGTTGGAGACTTGGAGCACTATGAATACTTTCATGCGCCGTCACAGAATGGATGTATCTTTGAGGGATCCAGACTGCTTTGGGGCTGCAGTTATTTCTTCAGCTGTGAACTATTAAATCTCTATGTGTTTAGCAGTACTTTTCTGGTCCCAGTATCTTTTTTTGTTTTCTCTCCCATCTGGGCTTTGTCATTGCTAGTTACTTCCCATAGTAGGCTGATGTGAGGAGATCCAGGAATATGGAAAATTGTTATCATACTTACCATAATTTTCCTTTCCTGGACCCTCCTAACATCACCCTGAGTCTCCCACCCTTCATTTCCATCGCGAGGCTTGTGATGTAACACCTGAGGGGGGAATAAGCTTAAATTTATGGTCTAGTTAAGGGTTGTCCAGGAGGGGTCAGGAAGTGGAGCTGACTCGTAGTAGGCGGACATGAGGAGGGTCCAGGAAAAGAAAATTATGGTAGGTATGATAACAATTTTCCCTAATATATTCCCTAATTCCCTCCCCAGAATAGTACCTAAGGCCTCATGTGATATATAGGAATAGTAGTATACAGTATTTTATAGTACCATTTACCTACTAATATATATATATATATATATATATATATATATATATATATTCCCTCCCCAGAATAGTACCTAGGTCTTCATGTGATGTATAGGAATAGTAGTATACAATATTTTACAGTACCATTTACCTACTAATATACCGTATTTTCCGGCGTATAAGACGACTTTTTAACCCATGAAAATCTTCTCAAAAGTCGGGGTTCGTCTTATACGCCAGTATACGGCATGCTGACACTTTGTGCCAGGGCGGCACTTTTTTAGGGGGGTGGCGTGGTGCCGCCGCCGCCCCCCCCTTCCAACAGAAGAGACACTAAGTACAGGAGTGGTCAGGGGGCTGCTGTTTCTTACCTGGCTCCGGTCCCAGTTCCATGACGATCCAGTCCAGGAAGCGCGGCTGCTCCTTCATTTAGTTCGGCCGCTCGACGATCGTGCGGCCGCTAGGCTCCGCCTCCTCACTGGTGATTGGGCGCCAGAACTGTAGCTCAGGAAAGGCACACAGGCGGCCAATCACCGGTGAGGAGGCGGAGCCGAGCGGCCCGTGAGAATCGAGTGAGGGAGTGGCCGGTAAGTGTGCCGTGCAGAGGTGCTGCTGCAACCATACTGGAACAGGGGTCAGCAAGTGTCATTGGTGTCAGTGGGAGGAATAGTGCCCCATCATTGGTGTCACTGATGGGGCATTATTCTTCCCACTGACACCAATGATGGAGCACCATTCCTCCCCCCCACTGACACAAATGATGGGGCACTATTCCTCAACCCCACTGACACCAATGATAGGGCACTATCCCCCCCCCCCACTGACACCAACGATGGGGCACTATTCCACCCCCCACTGACACCAATGATGGAACACTATTCCTTCCCCCACTGGTGTCAGTGGGAAGAATCGTGCCCCATCATTGGTGTCAGTGGGAGGAATAGTGTCCCATCATTGGTGTCAGTGGGAGGAATAGTGCCCCATCATTGGTGTCAGAGCGAGGAATCGTGCCCCATCATTGGTGTTAGTGGGAGGAATAGCACCCCATCATTGGAATACCATACTGAAATACCATACCATATTGAAATCAAATCTGATGTTTTTTAATTTTTGGTGTGCGTTGGAAGAGGGGAAGTCTTATACGGCGAGTATAGCCCAAACTCTATATTTTAACAGGAAAAGTAGGGGGTCGTCTTATACGCCGGAAAATACGGTATATAAGAAAATAAAAACCTAAAAATAACAATTTTAAATTTATTTTTTTTTGCTTTAATTATAAATAACCCTAGTATAAACAATATTAATTAAAAAAGTTCCAAAGCACTACTGTACAAAATGTGTCATCATGGCAACCACACACAATAGCCTCAGGCTATTGCCACTTCCAATGTGCTTAGATGTCACTTCTGGTGCACAGTCTTCACAAACACTGCTGCATGGTCTGGAGGCCACCCATATAATCTACCCATGGATCTACATCACTTGTCGTTTGTAGCAGACTACTTTGCAGCATTCACATAGCATCACCAATTTACCATATTCATGCTGTCCACTTTGACTTCCCTAGTAACCATACAGCATATGTTATCATTTTATGTGCCACCAGCAAGTCACATTGAGCAACCTTTTATTATCATGATTGAATAATCTTTTAGCTTTATTGGATTAGATTTGTCTTTCTGGCAATATCTTGATTGCACTCAGATACTTTAGTTTGTCTAGCACCATCTTGTGGCCTTTTATCCATAGCGCTCTTCTTCAGTTTTTCTGTATACGAACACATTGCTCCTGATGGTTGGACAGAGCTCCTTGTGATATTGGTCGAAATGTCTTTTGGCTACTTTATTCATAATTAAAGACATCAGCGCCCAGTAGTGAGTCTTTTCATAAATAAATTCTAATATATAAACAATTGTTTCTATACCATATATTTTCCCCATAAGAGAAAAAAAAAGTCAATTGAATATTGTTTGATTTCAGACAAATTAAAAAAAAAATATTTAAAAAATAAAACCAAAACACTGAGCCTCTTACATTTTTAGTGGTCAAAATCACCAGAAAATCTTTAATTGTCATAATTTTCATTGTTATTATCTAAAAAAAATAATAAAGCATATCACTCAAAGTATGGTATCAAAAGAAAGTATTATCTGTCCCCAAAAAGCAGTGTCAAGGCTGACTAGGTTGACCTTAAAACAATGCAGTATTTGTAGGACAATCCATCAAGCCATCCATCAATCATGTCCAAAAGCTGAAAAAAAATCCTGGCTTTTGGGGGTTTATAAAAGTTAAAGGTGCTGGGACTCAAGTGGTTAACATAATTGGTCATCTAGGTTGTGTTTGACCTCATGCAGTTAGCTGGATTGAGGCTGGAAAAATGCAGCAGGCAGCACTCGTACTTGGGTATATGCCTATGCTTTTGTGCTATGAGTAAACCTACACATTCACATATTACATATTCCCCAAACACAAAAATGTTGCTTTCATGCACATATAGCCATTCACTTCTATGGCTGGCTGTACATGCCACCTGCTGTTCCCTTGAGTTTTTATTATAGTGCATTTTTTCAGCCTCAAACCATCTAAGTGTCAGAAGGTTTGTTGGTGCTCATTCTTCCTCTCTGCATGTTTCCTACGCAAGCTTTTTTGCTGTTTTCTCACTTGTTGTTCTTTAAATTCCCAGGGGTCCTCGTGATTAATGCCATTTTTAACCTCTGCTCTGGATTTTCCAGTGGGCTTGTGCCCTCTAGATCCTCTTCTTATACTCAAAAATATTAATAAGCATTCTCTTTATCCCCTCAAGATAGCTGTGTATTTCAGAAAGTCGAGCCACAAGTATACCAATGCTGATGGAAGTCTACTCACCATCTGATTCATCCATGCTTCTTTAACCCTTTCACTGCTAAACATTTTTTCTGTTTTTAGCACACATTGTTTATATTAAACCGTACTTAAAATCCCCTAATATTACATCTTTTGTGAAATCAAAGGACCCATAGAATAAAAACATGGCAGTTGAAAGTTTTTTTATTTTGAGAGATATTGGGCTTACTGTTAGTAAAAAAAAAATGTATGTATATATATATATATATATATATATATATAATGTATACTATATGCCAAATGGGTCAGAAATAAAATTGTGTGTCACCATATCCTGGAAAATTCAGGGACTCCAGAAAGGTACTATTTTATGCTCTAACTAGATATTCACCTCTGCTAGTCTGTCTTCAAGAGACACATTTAACAAAAGAAACCTATCTATTGGGGAGATTATAACATGTTATAATGCATTTCCTACCCCCTATTAAAATAGAGCCAGCATAATAATCTATGAGGATATCCCTTTCTCCTGAAGGCAGGCTAGGATGAACAGGGGCAATTTATATTTCTATATGCTACTGTGCATATTATCTCCTGCATTATAACACATATATACTGTATATATATATATATATATATATTGTATATATCCTTCTCCGCGTACCTACTTTATTTAGTTCTAGATGGAAAAACTATGATGCCCCACAACTACTAGTTGATCATTTCAATAACCTAATGGATCCCACTCTAGATACATTTTTGGAGAACAATCATACCGGCAATTTTCAACTCATATCCATAGCCAAACGTTTATTTGAACTGGGTCTGATTGATATTTGGAAACTTCAACACCCCATAGAGACCCAATATTCATATTTCTAGGATGCACATGCTCTTATCTAGAACTGACTTTGCATTGGTAAATGACTAATGACTGTGCAAAATTGTAACTTGCAGCCAAGAAGCCTCTTTAATTATTTCCCCTTGCTATTGATAGCTTTACGCAGCAGGATCCAGTGGCAACGTAATCCATTTTGGCTTATCCTTTTTACCATAATCTCATCTGATCTCTCTTATAATTATAGAGTTTATTGCCATGAACAGAGTATCTGCACCCCTGCTGGAGTATTGGCATTTGCCAGTCCCTTACTTTATTATATAGCTGCACAACACCTGGCTGAGTTAATCAATACCAATAATAAATACGCAATTTGAATGTAAAATAACAAATATTTCTTATAAAAAAAATGTGTGTGATAAAAAAAATGTCTGCATCTGTGACAGTGACAAACTGATACCCCACATTTTTCATAGACAATGTTTTGCAGTGCATCAATTTTGAGTTAACTGTTAATGGTGGTCCTAGAAATGATTCCTCTTACTTTGGCATGTGTGGTGATACCTGACCAGGGGAAGACTGACAACTCATGGGGCCCCCGGGCAATAGGGGATCATGGGGCCCCTGTGTCCTTGCCCAAACTCAAAAAAAGCCTATGAAAAAGGTAACAGGGGCATCTCATGGGGCCCCCTACTGACCCTGGGCCCTCGGGCAGTGCCCGAGTTTCCAAATGGTCAGTCCGCCCCTGTACCTGACATGTGCACACACAATAAAAGTTTATGCACCCAGGTGTGCTGTACATGTGTTTGCCCTCCTATGTGGGTGCATGGGGCAGGGGGAGCTATAACAACAGCCTGCCCATGGTTAAGTGAGTTCTTCTGGGTTCACTGTTTCTAGGAGAGATTTGGTAACTGATATTTCTCATCTTCCCTCTGCTTGCCATTCTGACACTATTGATAGACATCCTGGGCTCCTGGTGGGCACATGTGAAAGCCTATATTGTGGGGTCAGACGGGATGGCACCATCTCTAACATATGGAAGTGATTGTGATTGGACAGCTTTAAAGCCACTTGAATCATTTCTATTTTATAGCCTGAAGCTGACTGAACAAAAAGTAAACAAGTTGCAGTAAATGGGCTAACAGGCAGTTTGCCAGACTCTGCTTGTTCATTATAATATTTAGTTGGGTCAAAAGGATTGTATTAGCTTGTATTAGTTTTTGATTGACATAGATGTTGTGCCTGATTGTCTTTACCTCGCTTGAACACTTCTTGGTCTAACCTTGCTTTGATTTCTGGCCCCAACTCTAGTCCATTTTTTCCACACACAAGTTTCATTACCCTTAGCAATGATGCATGGCACAACTCTGGCCTATGTTCTTGTCTCTTCTATTGGTACTGATGATTTCCAGCTGGCCTTACATCTATCAAAATTTTGACTACTTTGGTGTTCAGTGCTTAATTCCTGGAATCGTTGGTGCTCTCAAGTATTGAATGATGTATATAATGCATATCCAAATCATGGCTAATACACTTGAGGTGCACTAAATCAGTGATAATAATTAATTGGCAGACAGCCGATAGTAATCATAAAAATAAAGGTGTGAAAATTCTTCAACCTTTCTGTGAGACAAATAGAAACTATACCATACATTGAAACATATTTGTTTTTAGGAACAAAGCCTTTCTGGTGGATACATTTTGGTCTGGCTTTTTGGTGTGTGTATTTTCTGTTTCTATGTGGTTTCTGCTTTCATTCCAAAGGCATGTTAGTAGTTTATTTAACTCCAGCTGACAAAAATACGACTACTAATACTGTATAAAAGAACAACTTTGCAAATGTGCTAAAATCAGTGTACTTAATGAGGTTTACAGAAGCTCTTGCATCTAGACTTTTCAGATTTGTTTTTTAGGGTTTCTGTTGTCACTTCATTTCTTTCACTTAACTTTGTTAGTTCACAATTTATAAACCCCAACTGGAAGCAGGGACTGGATTTAATGGAGAATGTATCCTATAAAGTTTTGTTTAATGTTATGGAGGTAGATATATATTGATTTACAAAAGCCGGAGAGTGCAGAATCTGGTGCAACACTGCATAGAAATCAGCTTGCAGGGCTTTTTTTTGTCAAAGCGTAAGTGAAAAAGCTGATGTTAGAGACTGGTTGGCTACCATGCACAGCTGCACCAGATTTTGCACTCTACGGTTTTAGTAAATCAACCCCTATGTGTATTGCATGCTCCAGATAAGATAGATATTGATTTACTAAATATAGAGAGTGCAGAATCTGATGCTTCCACATTTTATTGCCAAAGCTTAATTGAACAAGCTGAAGTTAGTAACTGATTGGCTACCATGCACAGCTGCCCCAGATTCCGAGTGCACCAGTT